CACCATGGTTTTTATTTTAGGTGAAGAGTCACTCATTTACACCATGGTTTTTATTTTAGGTGAAGAGTCACTCATTTTCACCATGGTTTTCATCTTAGGTGAAGAGTCACTCATTTACATGTTTCCTGCTGCCATAGTTTGTTGTAGCTATTTTTCCCCCTCCAGTCCTAGGGATTAAACCCAGGCCTCTCACCCACTGGCCAGATGCTCTCTGCTGCTGAGCCGGCCCCTTTCTTTCACTGGAGGAAACCAGCACAGGGCTCGCCCACTGAGCCTCACCTCCAGCGAGGCTAGGGATCCATCTGCTTCCACTTCCCCAGTGCTGGGATGACACGTGCAGACCACCCAGCCTGGCTGCTTCTGTGAGGGCTGGGAATCAAACTCATGTCCTGATGCTTGCCTGGCAAGCCTTATACCAGCTCTTATACCAGCGGAGCCATCTCTCCAGACCCCAGGTAATATTCCTACCAGTTCCTATCATCCCCGTGTCAATCCCCAGTCATTCCCCCTCCACACGCACCTGTTAAATAACCACAGTAACTCCCTGGTTCTCCGTGTTGGACTTTGGTGGTGCTGATCTTACTTTAACCTGTCATCAGTGTCCTATCTGGGGTGAAGAGATGCTTTATCTGCATCACCCAGGAAAAGTCACACACACATGGGTGATCAGCCAGCCCCACTGTGGTGTCCCTCGTCCTTGCACAGAAACTACAAGGGAATGATTGGGGATTGACATGGGGATGATAGGAACTGGTAGGAGTATTACCTGGGTTCTGGAGAGACGGCTCTGCTGGTATAAGGATCACTTACAGGAACATGGATGACTCAGGCAGCTGAGTCAGGATTCATGATAACCCGTGATCCTGGAACTCCCTGCATGACTCACAGAGCTCCTTAGGCCAGAGAGTCTCCTCTCACCTGCAGTTGTTACTACCTATATAGCGTTGGGGGAGGGGCCTTGTGAATCTTGTAGGTTTCAGGAAGTTGCTGGGACTTGCAAGTGTCTCAGTTCCTGAGCCTTGGTAATTTCCTTTACTTTACTTCCTGAGTCTTAAGAAGCCTCCCTCCGCCGGGCGGTGGTGACGCACGCCTTTAATCCCAGCACTCGGGAGGCAGAGGCAGGCGGATCTTTGTGAGTTTGAGGCCAGCCTGGTCTACTAGAACAAGAAGCCTCCCTCCCTCCCAGAAGGAATGATCTAAGGAGGAGGAAACAGATACTCAACACCATGCTGCTGTCTTTCAGTTTTGTAGGCGATGCAGACAGACTCCTGCATATCAAGATTGAGGATACTTCGTATTCCAACCTCTTCCCCTCTTTCCGCCACATCTGTCACTTCATGGGTAAGGAGGATTTCCAGATTGGGCATCACCCTTCCTGTGCTCACAAGTATCTCCCTGTCCGAGACCTGCCCCCCTCTCCCACCCCAGGACTTGGGGAAGTACACAGTCTAGCGCATGCAACCCCTCCAAAGCCCTCAGCTGAGTTTACATGAGCAGCTTAGGAGTGGCATCCAGTGCCATCCCCACACTGTGTCTTATCGTCCTGTTCTTACTGTAGCTACATAGCCATGCCCTTCTGAGCCAGCCCTACAGTGAAGATACTGGACAAACATGGGTGCACGGAGTTTTGGGTGCCTGCTCCTCTGAGGGGTCTGGGGCTTCGAAAATGCTTCTCTTTCAATTTCTTTGCTCAATGCTAGTCAGTAGAGTTGGGTAAGAGAATGTCTTAGTTAGGGTTATCATTGCTATGAAGAGATACCATGAGGCCAGCAACTCTCATAAAGAACACATTTAATTGGAGTGGCTCGCTTACAGTTTCAGAAGTTTAGTCTGTTATCATGATGATGGGGAGCATGGCGGTGTGCAGGCAGACATGGTGCTAGAGCTGAGAGCTCTTACATCTTGATAGGCAGGCAGCAGGAAGTCAACTGGCACACTGGGCAGTGTCCCTCAAAGCCCGCCCCCACAGTGACACACTTCCAACAAGGCCACACCCACTCCAACAAAGCCACACCTCCTAATAGTGCCACTTCCTATGAGAGTATGGGGGCCAACTACATTCAAACGCCCACAGAGAAGGAAGGTACCCCCACACCATCTAGCTCTGATTCCCATCATGCTTCATGTGTCTACTTGACTCTGCTCTGGCTTCCCACTTGGCAAAGCAATGCCCATCAGCTGCTTAGCATAACAAAGGTAGATCGTTCAGTCAGTCTCAAGGCCCAGAGTTGACCAGGAAAAGCAAGATTCCTAGCAGAGCTAGGCTGAATCGGGTCAGGAGTCTTGGCTTCCAGCATGGCACCAACTTGGCCTCCAGCCCAAGCTGCTGCGTGGATGGCTGGGAGTGGGATAGTAGCCTCCACCACCCCTCATTGCCCAGCAATTCACTACTTTTACGTTTTAATTTGTTTTTTCAACTTGAGAGATACAACCAGGGTGGAACATATGCTAGGTAAGTGCTATATCTCTAAGCCACACCCCAGCCCCTCACTGGGAGATTCTAGGCAGGTGTTCTACCACTGAGCCACACCCCAGCCCTCACTGGGGGATTCTAGGCAGGGGCTCTACCACTGAGTCACACCCCAGCCCCTCACTGGGGGATTCTAGGCAGGGGCTCTACCACTGAGTCACACCCCAGCCCCTCACTGGGGGATCCCAGGCAGGAGCTCTACCACTGAGTCACACCCCAGCCCCTCACTGGGGGATTCTAGGCAGGGGCTCTACCACTGAGCCACACCCCAGCCCCTCACTGGGGGATTCTAGGCAGGTGCTCTACCACTGAGCCACACCCCAGCCCCTCACTGGGGGATTCTAGGCAGGTGCTCTACCACTAACCACACCCCAGCCCCTCACTGGGGGATTCTAGGCAGGTGCTCTACCACAGAGCCACACCCCCAGCCCTCACTGGGGGAGTCTAGGACCACCCCCACCCCCAAGTCCTCTTTTTATTTTTTATTTGACAGCACCTTCCTGGGTTGCCTAGGCTGGCTTTGAACTCTCAATATTTCTTCCTCTTAGCCTCTGAACATCCAGTGTTGTGCCCTGGGCGCGAGGCCCCCCGAAGAGACCACCAGAGATACACTAGTGGTCTCCCGGTGGTCACTGAGGTCCCCGGAAGGGTGCCATGCACAGCCCTCACCCTTCCTTCCTTCCTTTGCAGAGCTTCACTTGCGGCTCCGCTCGGTCATCCTGGTCTTCTCCACGCGGGGCATTAGCCGCAGCAGTGCCGCGGTGATAGCCTTCCTCATGCATTACAATGAGGAGACCTTGAAGGTTCGTGTTACTGGCCAAGCTCACCGGGTTTGCCAAAGACTCTAGGTCCAAGCCAGGCGTCGTGATTCGTTTACACCTTTCATCCCAGCACACAGCATACACAAGCAGGCGGATCTCTGTGAGTTCGAGGCCAGCCTGGTCTACAGAGTGAGATCCAGGACGGCCAGGGCTACACAGAGAAACTCTGTCACAAACAAACAAACAAACAAACAAACAAACAAACAAACAAACAAAAAGTATTGCTCCCTGGGCCACAAACACCCTAGGAGGGGGTCCCAGCTGGATCTGGGTGCTCTTGGGACCGCAGTACTATATCATAGGGTCTTAGTTTTAACAGGGAGGAGAACTCCAAAGTTTGGATGTCACCCAGCACACGGCACTCAAGAGTAAGGTCCTTTTGCTTAGACTAGTAGTTTCAGGTTGGTAGGGGCCCAGCCAGTCCAGGCTCTGGATGACAGCCCACTGTGGTGGTATTGTGTTCACCAAAATATTGTGTACTCTAATAAATTTATCTGGGGTCAGAGAACAGACAGCCAATATTGTGTACTCTAATAAATTTATCTGGGGTCAGAGAACAGACAGCCACTAGATACAAAGGCTAGAAAATGGTGGCACTCACACCTTTAATCCTAGCATTCCAGAGATAGAAATCCCTCTGGATCTCTGTGAGTTCAAGGCCACATTGGAAATAGCCAAGCATGGTGACACGCCTTTAATCCCAGAAAGCCAGCCTTTAATCCCAGGGAGTGGTGGTAGAAAAGAGAAAGATATATAAGGTGTGAGGACCAGAAACTAGAAGATTTTAGCTGGTTAAGCATTCAGGCTTTTGAGCAGTAGTTCAGCTGAGAGCCATTGGGATGAGGACACAGAGGCCTCCAGTCTGAGGAGACAAGACCAGCTGAGGAACTGGTGAGGTGAGATAGCTGTGGCTTCTTCTGTCTCTCTGGTCTACCAGCATGGACCCCAATAACTCGTCTCAGGTTTGATTTTATTAATAAGAACTTTTAAGATTCATGCTACAGCCCACTGTATGGCCCTTCCCCTCCCCCCCCTCTCTCTCTCTCTCTCTCTGTGTGTGTGTGTGTGTGTGTGTGTGTGTGTGTGTGTGTGTGTGTGTGTGTTAAGGCAGCAGGAGCTTGAAGCAGCTGGTCACATTGTATCACTGTCAGGAAGCATGGAGTGATGGATGCATACTGCAGCTCAGCTCACTTACTCCATTTCCACACTCCAGGATCCCAGCCAAGAAATGGTCCTGCCCACCATAAAGATGCCTCTCCTGACATCAACTGACACAATCAGGGCACTCTCCCACAGATAGTCCTTCATGGAGACTCCCTTCTGGGTGATTCCAGACCCTGCTAAGCTCACGACTGAAATTAGCTGCCACAGTACCCCAGTTACTTTGGGTTTGTTCCAAGGAGAATTTCATGGGCTCACAGAATGGCTGGGCTGCCCGAGCCTCAGCCTGTTAATCTTCCTTTGCTTTGAAAGCAGAGGGACAGAAAAATAAGATCTTGCATGGCAACACCAGGGGGGACTCATGGCTGATGTCAAGCTGTGCTTTCTCAGAGCCTGCCCTGGGGTCTCTCTTGCTAAACCTTGCTAGTCACAGCCTGCTTGCAGGCTCAGAGGCCATGGGCACAATCCAAACAACCTCCAGATTTTAACCTAGGGAGTGTGTGGTTCGCCTGCCCGTTGAGTACTTGCTTAGACATCCCCAGTGGGGTGTGGCTCCGTGGAAGAGAGCTTGCCTAGAATCCCCCAATGAGGACCTGCAGGAGCAGCCGAAGTATGCTTTGCCAGAACACTCCAGTGAGCAGCTGGGGGTGTGGTTGAGCCATAGTGGGCTTGCCTGGAATCCACAGGACCTGGGTTTGATCCCCACCTAGCATGGGGGAAACAAAGCAAAACTCCAAAAGCTTTTGAACCTCTAACCCTGACGTCGTCACATCCAAGTAGAGCTGAAATAAAGGTAAAGTGAGCCGTCCTCTGGCTTGGTTTCTTTCCTAGCCCAGCTAGGGCCTGAAGGGGGCACAACGGCCCTTGCTGCCTGGTCTGCCTGTCCCTGGCAGTGGCTGATGCTGGATCTCCTCACGTCCATGTGAGTCTGGACTCAGGAGGAACCATCGCACTTGTTCCGAGAACAGCCATCTTTGTCCGCTCTGTAGGAAGTCCCAAGACTGGGCACTCTTCCCAGAGATGACTCCTAGATAACTCTTGGCCAAAAAGAGCTGTTCAGCTCACGTTGCTGTGGCCAGGAGTGCCTGTCTCTAGCTTGCCATGGTAGTTGGCTCATTAGCATAGCTTGACCTGGACTTGACCCCAGGAGGCTGACATGGAGCTGGCATGCTGGGGCAGGCTGTCAGTGCAGTGGGCATGTTGATCCCACTGGTATCTGTGTCCCTTAGGGCCCTTAGAATAGGGGTTGGTACGGTGACTAAGCAGGTAAAGCCCCTGCCTTGCAAGCCTGGCCACCTGGGTTTTAATACCTGGTAAGCTGGAAGGAGAGAACTAACTACTCCTCAACTGACCTCCACAAGTGTGCAGTGGCATGTGCACCCCCCCATACATAGCATGCTCACACAAGATAATAATAAATTTTTATAAAATATTTGCTTATTTGTATTTTATGTGCACTGGTGTTTCTCTACCTGGGTGTCTGTGCACAACATGCATGCAGTACTCAAGAACGCCAGAAGGGGGAGTCTGATCCTCTGGAACTAGAGTTCTACCCACTTGGGAGCCACCATATGAGTCCTGGGAATTGAACCTGGGTCTTCTGGAAGAGCAGCAATTGCTCTTAACCTCGGAGCCATGTCTCTAGCCCCAATTTTGGTTAATTTTGTTTTGTTTAGATAGGGTTCACTATGTTGCATGGATTTTGCTACACAGTTCATGGTGGCTTGGAACTCACTGATAACTCAGGCCCATCTACAACTGGCTGTAGAACTCAGGCTTACAGGGAACTCACAATTCTTCCCACCTCAGTCTCCTGAGTGCTGAGGTTAGAGCTGTGTCCTACTGGCCCTGGACCTTTTTCTTTGTTATATGTTAAGGCAAGTTCACTATGACCTTGTAGCTTAAATACCATTATGCTTCCCAGCATTTTTCAGGTGTGGTAAGTCCGGGTGCTTTCTCCAAGGCTGCGCAGCTACAGATAGAACATCAGGGATCAAAGCCCATTGGCTCAGGCGCAGCACCCACACTTTCCATGGGGCTCCACCGTAACAGGAAGAACACGGATGGCCTTGCAGCCTTAAGACCAGGGCCTGTTGACCCTCACCAAGTGTGCCCTGGCAAGTGCTTCACATGTTCATCCCAGGGTAGGCAGGACGAGACCTTTCTGCCTGGGAGAGTCCCAGGAGATGTGTTAGGAGCTGAGGTGTGCCGTGGGTTTAGGGGGCCAGCACCTCACCAATTAGGCCACACCTCCATCTCTCTTAACGACTCCTAAACATGTGTTTTCGTGGTAAGCACATTCAGGTTGTGAACGCAGCTTGTAAACTTTCAGATCTTGCAGAACTGAAATCCTGTGCCTGGTGATTGACAGCCTCCTGTTCGCTCTAAATCCAAGCCTCTGGCCACCTCCGCTGTACTTTGTGGGCCTCAGTTTGTCTGCAGTCAATCCCTTACACAATTTATCATTTCCTTGTGTGTGCATGAGGGTGTGTGTAGGTCTGTATGAGTGTGTGCACTTGTGTGTAGGTGCATATGAATGTGTGTATGTCTGTGTAGGTGTGTGAGTGTGTATGTGTGTGTAGGTGTGTGTGAGAGTGTGTGTAGGTGTGTGAGTGTGTGTGTGTGTGTGTAGGCACATATGAATGTGTGTATGTGTGTGTAGGTGTGTATGAGTGTGTGTAGGTGTGTGTGTGTGTTGGGGGGTGCACATGAGTGCAGTTGCCCTCAGAAGCCAGAAGAGGTCATTAGATTTCCAGGAGCTTGTGAGTTGCCCGATGTGGACGCTGGGAACCAAACTCAGGTCCTCTGCAAGAGCAGTACGTGTTCTTATCCTCTGAGGCATCACTCTAGCCCTAAGGTACCATTTTGCCTTTCCACTCTGCCTGTAACCCGGGTGAAGGCCGGGCCCACGCGTGCCTTCTTCTGCACTTCATTGCGGATGCAGCCTGGAGGAAGGCAGCTTTGCCTTGCCTTCCCTCCTTCCGAGAACTCACTCAAGGTTCCTGTCAACTCTCCAGTGATTCAGCCAGTCCTGACGCAAACCTTTGTTGAGGCTGCTGTGTGCCCCAGGCTAGCCTGGCGTTAGCCTGCTCAACGGGAGTTTGCATGCATATCGTCTCAATCTGCATAGGAGCCGTGTGAAACGGAACTGACTTCTGTGCCCTGAGTCAGAAGTAGAGGAGCTTCCCTATGGACTAGACTGTGCCTAGGGCTCCTTCCTTGATGAGTTCACCCCAGGCTGCTGTTCTGTCGGTGCTTAAATTATTTTTTTCCCTCTGTTCCTTTAAGTGTGTGTTCATGTGCATGTGTGCCTGTGTGTGTATTCATGTGGCACATGTGCAGAAGTCAGTTCTCTTCTTGTACCGTATGGGTCACTTGGGTTGAATTCAGATCATCAGGCTTGAGGCCCAACCTTTTCTTTTCTTTTCTTTTCTTTTCTTTTCTTTTCTTTTCTTTTCTTTTCTTTTCTTTTCTTTTCTTTTCTTCCCCCTTTCCCCTCTTTCCCTCTCTCCTCTCCTCTCCCTTCCCCCCTCTTTCTTTCTTCCTGAGGTACCCCACAATTAGGCTAGACTAGCTGGCCAGTGGGCCCCAGGAACCCCGTATCCACTTCCCCAGCACTGGGATTACAAACAGAGTTTTTACACTGGTCCTGGGGACTCGACTCAGGTCCCCATGCTTGCCGGAAAGTACACTACCGAATGAACTATCACCCAGCCCCTGTCCCTGCACCTAGCCATCACATGGGCAGGTAGGTGTCTCCTGTCCCCCCTGACCTGTTGGTGATCTCGTCTGGAAGGATCTCACCACCTGTCCTGAAATCTTCCTTATGTCTACATTCACAGAGGTCCTGGGCCCACGTGAAGAAGTGCAAAAACAACATGCGTCCGAATCGGGGCTTGGTGGCTCAGCTTCTGGAATGGGAGAAAATTGTCCACGGCGATTACATCACAGACATCTCTGATCCTATCTACTGACCTTCGCCTGCGGCCCACCTGGGCGAGGAGGAACCTTGTTTGGGACTTTTTGAGGGGTGGGTGGGTGGGGGGTTAGGTACACGCTTGGAATGGTCCAGAAGAAGACCTTTGCAATCTGAAGTTTCATGTCTGTGTCTTAGGTCTGGTTCTTTTTTTTTCCCCCAAAATACTGGGGATTGAACCTAGAGCAGTGGTTCTCAATCTTCCTAACACTGCGACCCTTTAGTACAGTTCCTCATATTGTCGTGACCCCCCCAACTATAAAATTATTTTCATTGCTACTTCCTGTCATTTTGCTGCCATTATGAATCATGATGTAAATATCTGTGTTTTCCGATGGTCTTAGGTGACCCCTGAGAAAGGGTTGTTCGACCCCCAGGCTGAGAACCACTGTGCTAGTCTCACACATGTTAGGTAAGCCTTTTATTTTTTGAGACAAGGTCTCCTGGAGACGGGGATGGCCTCAAACTCTGTGCAGCTGAAGAGGACGTTAACTCATGCTCTTCCCGCCCCCCCCCTCCAGTGCTAAGGGTGCAGTGTGTACCTCTGTTTCAGTTAGTGTGGTGCTGAGGGTGGACTCAGGGCTTCCTGCATGCTGGCCAGGCACTCTATTAACTAAGCCACACCCCAAGTCCTGCCCTGGCTTTTTTCTAATCTGTTCCCCCAACACACACACACACACACACACACACACACACACACACACACACACACCTTTAAGTTTTATTTTAGATTTGTTTTATTTTATGTATGTAGATGTTTTACCTGCATGTATGTCTGTGCACCATGTATATACATGGCTCCTACAGAAGTCAGAAAAGGGCATTGCATCCCTTGGAACCGGAGCTATAGATGGCTGTGAGCCACTATATGGGTGCTGGGAACCAAACCTGGGTCTCTGGAAAAAGCAGTCAACATTCTTTTTTTTTTTTGGTTTTTCAAACAGGGTTTCTCTGTGTAGCTTTGCGCCTTTCCTGGAACTCACTTGGTAGCCCAGGCTGGCCTACGAACTCCCAGAGATCCGCCTGCCTCTGCCTCCCGGGTGCTGGGATTAAAGGCGTGCGCCACCACCGCCCGGCGCAGTCAACGTTCTTAACCACCGAGCCATCTCTTTAGCTTAAGTACCGAAGTCTCAGCCAGCGGTGGTGGTGCACACCTTTAGTCCCAGCACTCAGGATGCAGAGGCAGGCAGATCTCTCTGAATTTGAGGCTAGCCTGGTCTACAGAGCAAGTTCTAGGACAACCAGGGCTACACAGAGAAACCCTGTCTCAAAACAACAACAATAACAAGCTGGGCGGTGGTGGCACACACCTTTAATCCCAGCACCCGGGAGGTGGATCTCTGTGAGTTTGAGGCTAGCCTGGTCTACAGAGTGAGATCCAGGACAGGCACCAAAGCTACAGAGAAACCCTGTCTCGAAAAACCAAAACCAAAACCAAACAAACCAAAAAAAAAAAAACCCAATAAACAAACAAATTCAAAAATAAATAAATAGCTGAGGTCTCATTACATACCCTGGATGCCCTTAGTCTTCCTGTTTTCCTGCCTCCATCTCCTGAGTGCTGGGATTAGAGGTGTCCACCATGACAGGCCTTCTTGGGCTCTGGTCCATTCAGCAGAGCAGACACTCCTCAGTCACCCCCCACTTCTGGAGGTAAGCTCTGCCACCCAGCTACACTCCCGGGGCTGCCTCTGGCTGGAGCAGTGGCCGGACCCACTGATGACTTGGACTCTTTGGAGGTCACCTGGGTTGGGGGTGCTCAGCTCATGCTTCGTGTCGGCCCATTCAGAGAGTATCAGTGTCCACTCCAGGGTAGAGATCTTCCAGCTCAGGCTTAGGGACACTCCTGACTTCAGAGCCGCCAGAATAGAGGTCATTGCCCAATGTCCAGAGCCAGCGTTCGGACCACTGCCCCTGGATCATGGGTATAGATTCTCTCTCTGTCCCCAAGTCATTATGAAGGAGACTTCTTCTCACCCAATCCCAGGTTTCTAGAAATTCTATATCCATTTTTTTTCTTTTCATTTCAGACAAGGTCTCATGTAGCCCAGGCTAGCCTGGACAACTCACTATGTAGCTGAGGATGATGCTGAACTTCTGATCCTCTTGCCTCTTTCCTCCCAAGTGCTGGGAATACAGGCATGTGCCACCACACCAAGTTTGTGGTCCTGGGAATCAAATCCAGGGCTTCCTCATGCCCCAGGCCCCTACAATTCCACAAATCTTTACAAATTTTTGTTATATACTTTTTAAATTTTTTTATTGTATTTTATGTGCATCTTTTGCCTGCATGTATGTCTTTGCACCACATATATGCCTGGTGACTGTGGAGGTCAGAAGTGAGGGTCAGATCCCCGGGGACTGGAGTTACAGATGGTTGTGAACCACCATGTGGGTGCTAGGCATTGAACCCAGGTCCTCTGGAAGAGCTGCTCTTAACCACTGAGCCATCCTACACTTTATATCTGTATATGTGGGCATTCTTTGGCACTTGTGTGGAGGTCAGAGCAGAAGTTGCTGAAAGCGGTTCTTTCCACAGAGTGGGTCCTGGGATTGAACTCAGGGCGTAAGGCTTGGCAGCAGACCCCCTTGCTTGCTGAGCCTTGTCACAGGCTCAAATTCCACAAGTCCTAAAGGGAGTTGCCCAAATGCACTTCCCCAGACTCACAGATTACAAGGAGACTGACGGGCAATGGAGGGAGTCAGCCCTTTAAGAAAACATCCCGATCAGCCAGGCTGTGGTGGCGCATGCCTTACCCAGCACTAGGGAGGCAGAGGCAGAGTTTGAGAGAAGCCAGGGCTAGCCAGGGCTACACAGAGAAACCCTGTCTCCAAACAAACAAACAAAAAGAAAGAAAGAAAGCGTCCATCCCCGACTACTATCTGCCTCCTAGAACTTTCCACAGAAGGACATGGGTGGTAGGGTGTCCCCTGATGAGGATGACCTGGAACTTCTGATCTGTCTGCGCCTCTCAAGTGTGGGAATCACAGGCATGTACCTTCGCATCCGGTTTATTACGTGATGCTAGGGATTGAATTCAGTGTTTTCTGCATGCTAGGCATGCCAGGCATGCTAGGCATGCTAGCGCGCTACCGACTCGGCTCTAGACCCCACTGGTAAGTCTTCAGCAGGGACACGGTGGGGAGTTAAGTTTTGTATTTTTAGGAGAGGCAGCCTACAGGCTGTTTGAAGGACAGGGGAGGTGAGCACAGAGGACTCCGGGCCAGGAAAGGGGTGTCTCTAAAAAGCTGTGAGACAAAAGGCTGTCCCTAGAGAGGGGCCGCTGCTCAAGGACAAAAGTGGATGAGGCGCAGGGCGCAGGGCGTGGTGGATGGCGCACGCGGGAGGCAGAGGCAGAGGGATCTCTCGTTCCTGACCGGCCAGCCAGGGCTACGTCGTGAGACTCCATCTAAAATAAAAATTCAGAGTGTTGGAAGCACGTGTTGCCTCGGTTCGTGAGTGCTCCGAGGAAGCGGATCAAGCGGATAGGATCGCCGGGAGCCCAGGTCCGGTCACGGAGCCAGGAGACGCCTGGCGGGCACGTGGCCACGCCCAGCTCCCCGTCCCGGGATCCGATTGGCTGCCCCAAGGGGCGGGGCTCGCGCGCGGATTACGCCGGGCCTTTTCCCGTTGGCAGCCGCGGCAGCGCGAGCCCGGAAGCGGACGGGGGCGGTGGCGGAGGCGCCTCCGGCCGGCCGGGGTTGCAGCTCCGTCCTCCCCACTCGCGGTTCCCCGCGGCCCGTGGCGTGGACAAAGACATGCAGTCCCCGCCCCCAGACCCGCTGGGCGACTGCCTGCGCAACTGGGAGGATCTGCAGCAGGACTTCCAAGGTATCCAGGTGAGCGTCCCTGCGGCCATCCGTGCCCCGAGCCACGTCTCTCTGTCTCGGGGACAAGGGTCGGGCAGCCCTAGGTCAGACATAGGGTAGCTCGGAGGGGTCAGGGGTCGAGGCCCTCTCCCACTTCTCCTCTTAAATGTCCGATGGCAGCCCCGATTGCCCGCGCGTCCCCGGCGTGCTTGGGCAAGGGATCCCTCTGTGCCGGGCCATCTCGACTTTGTGCAAAGGCCTTGAAAACAGGTCAGGACTCCCCTGCTGACCCTCCCTCTGCACCGCTAACCGATCTGGGACCTCGTCCCCTTCCTGGAGAGCAGTCACCCGAGGCAGAGCCCAGCCGGGCCCAGCCTTTTTGGTTCAGTCACCCTGCAAGCGTGCAGCCGGACAACGCCTTCCCCGCCCTTGGCCAACTCCTTGCCGAACGCTGCAGGGAAGCAAGTTTAGGTAAAACCCAGGCCTGGATGGAGATCTCAGCCATCTGAGACCGAGGGACAGCGCCCACCTAGGGACTGGAGGAGCCTCGCCCGGGCGCGTGTGGTTCTTTCTTGTAGGGAAGAGGTGGGCGGGGCAGACTGTACCTGGACCTCCTGCCAGGCAGAGTCTGTGTGAGACCATTGGAAAACCTCCCAGTTCCAGGTTGTTTGTGTCCTCTCTGTCCCCGTACTGGAGAGAAGGAAGGTGCTGCTTCCAGGAAGGCTGTCACTGGGCAGGGGTGGCATATGCTAGAGCCTGGAGAGGATGTGGCGGCCCCGCTTGGCATGAGAAACAGACCCAAGTAGTGGAGCCTGGCCAGCTGGAGACTAGGTTAGACCTTTGCCTCTGCTGGACTGTGCCCAGTCTCATATCTCCACGGCAGCTGCCGACCCTGCCCAGCTTGCTGGTACTAGAACTCTCTCTAGGGACCCACACAGCCCCAGATCTCCCAGTTTTGCCATCACTGCGATGGCCTCTGCCTTGATTTCCCCACACTGCCCCTTGCCCTGTCTTTAGGGTGCAGCTTGCAAGGTTCACCCACCAGGGCAAAGGGCTTGGGCCAAAGGTGCTTGCAGGAGGGGAGTGGATGGGAGGGACTGGTGACCTTTGACCTGAGAGGAAACATCGGGAATGCCTGAGTGGAAGGCATCATGGCCAACCCTGTATGCCATCCCTTCAGGCTAGCTAGGTAGAAGGAACTGGGAAGGTAAGGGGTGAGTTCGGGCAGCCCCTCTGGTGTAGAGCAGTGGTTCTCAACCTGTGGATCAAGACCCATTTTAGGGTGCAAATGACCCTTTCACAGCAGTCGCCTAACACAGATATTTACATTAGGCTCCGTAACAGTAGCAACATTGCAACCAGGAAAATAATTTTATGGTTAGGGATCACCACAACACAAGGAACTGTATCAAAGGGTCGCATGTGGTAGGAAGGCTGAGA